TTTCACAGGTGAATACAACAGAAATGAAGAAATAGCATGAAGTAATTTGAGAGTTGACTTACATCGTTATTTACTTTTTAAAAGTTTTATGATTTTATCAAAAAAGTATACTTGAGTGTAATTATGACTTTTCAAAGAAATGTCTACTCATTTTAAAGTTATATGAAATTAATTTACTTACCAACAGTAGTTTTGGATTTTCTATACACAGCAGTCTGATTTAGTGCAATGTCTGAAGTGTCAGTGTCTTAGCTATTTCTACTGTTCTCTAATAATTATATAAACTCAATTTGAATTAAATATTTCTTTGTATTTATTGCATCTGCAAAAGTATATTTTAGTATGAGCTCTGGCATTTTCTAAGCTATAGTTATGGAAAAATGTTTTTCCAAATTCATTACATTTGCTGAATTCTTCTCCAATATAAATTTCCTAATGCTGAACAAAATTTTAGCAACTGCTTCAGGGTTGTCTAGTACAAAATGTGTACAATAAAATGATACAAGTAAAAGCACTACAACCCCCTTTATATTTGTAATGTTTGTCTCAGAATAAACTCTTCTTCACTTTAAAGGCTTATATTTCTGACAGATCATTTGAAAGTAATTGTATTTATAATACTTTTATTAAGTATGAACTCTCTGATGTTGTGTAATATATGAGCAGATATTAATGACTTTTCCACATTCTTTATATTTGTACACCATTTCTCAAATATAAATGCTTTCCTGTACAATAAGCTGTGAACACTGGTTAAAAATTATATTCTTCACACTTGGAGTTTTCTCCAGTATAAATTATTTTACCTGCAATCAAGCGTGAAAACCATTTAAAAGTTTTTTCACAATCTTTATATTTCTAGAGTTTTGCACCAGTATAATTTTTTTTTCTTTTTACGTTTAGATAAGTTTGAGGTGTTGTGAAAAGCACTGTGACATCATTCAAGATTGTAGTTTCGCTCCAGCATGAAACATCTTATATATGTTAAGAATTGAGGACTTGTTAAGGGCTTTGTGACATTCTTCACACTTTAGGATTTCTGTCCAGTATAAATTATGTGTAATAAGAGTTGAGAACTTTTAAACGCTTTGTCACATTCTTCACATTCGTAGGTTTTATCTTCCACATGAGTTCTCATGTTTAGTAAGAGTTGAGAACTGGGTAGAGGCTATGCCACATTCATCACATTTTAAGGGTTTCTCTCCAGCATGAATTATTTTGTGCTTAGTGAATGTTGAAGATTTGTTAGAAGCCAGGCCACGTTCTTCACATTTGTAGGGCTTCTCTTTTATGAATTCCCTTATGTTTAGTAAGGATTGATGAACAGTTAAAAGCCTTGACACATTCTTCACATTTGTAGGGTTTTTCTCCATTATGAATTATGTTTCGTAAGGTTTGAGGAATGGTTACAAGCTTTGCCACATTCTTCACATTTGTTGGGGTTCTCTCCAGCATGAATTCTCTTATGTATGGTAAGGTATGAGAAACGATTAAAAGGTTTGCCACATTCTTCACATTTGTAGGGTTTCTCTCCAGTATGAATTATCTTATGTTGAATAAGGTGTGAAGACCGGTTAAAGGCTTTGCCACATTCTTGACATTTGTAGGGCTTCTCCCCAGTATGAATTAACTTATGTTGAGTAAGGTGTGAAGATTGGTTAAAGGCTTTACCACACTCTTCACATTTGTAGGGTTTCTCTCCAGTATGTATTATCTTATGTCGAATAAGGTATGAAGACCGGTTAAAGGCTTTGCCACACTCTTCACACTTGTAGGGTTTCTCTCCAGTATGAATTATCTTATGTTGAATAAGGGTAGTAAGAGCTGAGGACCAGTTAAAGGCTTTGCAATATTCATCACATTTGTAGGCCTTCTGTCTAGTATGAATTCTCTTATGTTTAGTAAGGTGTGAAGACCGGTTAAAGGCTTTTCCACACTCTTCACATTTGTAGGGTTTCTCTCTAGTATGAATTACCTTATGTTGAGTAAGGTGTGAAGACCGGTTAAAAGCTTTGCCACACTCTTCACATTTGTAGGGTTTCTCTCCAGTATGAATCATCTTATGTCGAGTAAGCGCTGAGGACTGTTTAAAGGCTTTTCCACACTCTTCACATTTGTAGGGTTTCTCTCCAGTATGAATTCTCTTATGTTGAGTAAAAGTAGTGAGAGCTGAGGACCAGTCAAAGGCTTTGCAACATTCATCACATTTGTAGGGCTTCTCTCTACTATGAATTATCTTATGTTGAGTAAGGTGTGAAGATCGGTTAAAGGCTTTGCCACACTCTTCACATTTGTAGGATTTCTCTCCAGTATGAATTATCTTATGTTGAGTAAGGTGTGAAGACCGGTTAAAAGCTTTTCCACACTCTTCACATTTGTAGGGTTTCTCTCCAGTATGAGTCATCTTATGTCGAGTAAGGGCTGAGGACTTGTTAAAGGCTTTGCCACATTCTTCACATTTGTGGGAATTCTCTTTAATATGAATTCTCTTATGTTGAGTTAGTTGTGAAAGCATGCAAAATGATTTGCCACATTCTTTACATTTGCAAGTTTTCTTTTCAGTATGTCTTATCTGATGTCTATCTGAATTTGAAAATTTATAGAAGACTTTCACATATTTATCACATTGATATATTTTCCTCTGGGTAGTTATCAGACATTGGTTAAGTCCATTATAACTTCCTTTGCACACCTTACACTCATCCACACTTTTACAGCCCTTTCTTAATTGTAAATTCTCATGTTCACATTTATCATGTCTCCTCAGTATGACTTTTTGGGAAAAATCTTTTATGTCTTGCTCCGGCCAAAGGTCTTCAGCAATATGAGAACACATAACTAAAAGAAATTAAAACAACAAATTACTCCACTTACTAGACTCAGGTAAATATTTTTTACAAATCTAACCTATAAAACTGTATACACTACATAAGCAAGATGGCATAGCAAAATACCACAGGCTCTAATTTATTCAAAAACATATAAAATGTAACAAAAACATACTGACCAAAACACATTTTTGGAAAATTTATAAATGAGTTAAGTGTGCAAAGTGCCCCAGGTGAACACAATGTAAAAAGCAACATAGAAGAAAAAGAAAAATCTGTTATATTAACCCAACACAGCACTTCCTTCTCCCCAGTATAACATAGTGCCGTTAGAAGTATACATTGCCAACTCCTTGTTTCTATTTAAAAGAAAAATATTGGCACATACATTTTTATGTCTGGATTTTAGGGGTCTTTCAAGACACTGGTTTCATTCTCCCATTAAATAAAATGCTGAAAAAAAAATAGTATACTTTGGAATAACAATTTGAGAATGCTGAGACCAAAGGTAAATGTTACAGCAGCAGACAGACTGCAGTACCACAGACAGGGAACAAGGGTAGCAAGTGATTGATAACTAGGAAGAAGTCACGCAAATAAACTTTTTAAACTAGAAAATAAAACATTTCAGATAAGACACATTCTAAGAACATGTTTAAAAGGCTCTCAGAATGTCTAACCATGACAACTGGTTTCAGACTATGCCAGGATAAAGCTACATTGTAAAGACTGACAGGAATCTTTTTTTTTTTTTAATGTCCAAGTCTCAGTCAAAGATTACAATGTATACAAAATAATAGGGCAACATGGTCCCATCAAAAAAATCACGAAATTTTCAGAAAGCAATCATTATAAAATAAAAATGTATACATTTTAGAAGTTTAAAATAAGTTGAATAACACTCAATGAGTAAAAGGAGCACAGACAACTACTGAAAATCAGAAAAAAGAAAAAAACAGTAATTGTAGAGGTAAAATACAAAGAGATAATAACTAACCAATTCTAAAAGAAAAAAATGATATAAAAATAAAGAAGTTCAACAAACTAAAATACACATACAAGATATTTATTTAAAAAACACATATATAAGAGCAATTTAAAATGTCACAGAGAGAATCTCAAGAACTGCAAGATGAAAGTGATGTGTCATTTATAAGCATAGAGTTATAAACTAGTTTATAAACAGTTTAAAACAGTTATAAACTGTTTAAAACTAAACAGTGAGGTTTTCAAAAGAAAATTTTGCAGGCCAGAAGAAAACTGTGTGATATTGCCAAAGTCCTGAAGAAAAAATGCTGCCAGGTGAAAAGAATAATCATCAGCAAAAATGTCCTACCAAATAAATTAAAAAAAAAACCTTCTAAAATAACCAAATCCTGAGACAGTATATTGGCACTGCATATGACCTATATATATCAAAGATGCTGAAAAAAGTTTCTTCCACTGAAAATAACACAATGCTAGAAAACAACACATAATCATATAAAAATACATAAGTTCCTGGGAAACATACGTACACAAAAATAGAATTCCTTAGCATTCTCATAATGGGATAGAAAACATTTATAATTATGCTCTAAAATTAGAAAAATAAAAGCACAGAAAGTATTGTAAATATCTGTTAATAAATATACAACAGATAATCAGCAATATCAATAACAAAGTTGAGGGCAGATGTAATGGGGAACAATTTTTGTATATGACTGAAGTTCATTTTTCACCAGATTAAATATACACTACTTTATCTTTTAGAGGTTTTATGTAATCCCCAAGGTACCACAAAGAAAATATCTGTATAGACACCCAAAAGAAAATAAGAAAGAAGTGAAACCATATCAATACTAATGAAACAGACACAATGGAAGGCAGAAAGGGAGAAAATGAGGGATAAAGATACAAGAATCAAACAAAATAATTAATAAAATAACAGGAAGTCTTTGTCTTTTAGAAAATTACTTACATATATGTATAATTAGCTTTCTAATCAAGAGACATAGTTTCAATAAAGGGATTCATTAAAAAACATTAAAACTCAAGACCCGACTTGTCTTTCTACAAGAGTCAGTTTAGAACTAATCATTAAAAAAAGCCTGAAAGTGACAAGATTGATGTAGGCATTCTATCCAAATACTAACCAAATGAGAGGAGAAAAGGTCAAAGCAGTATTACACGAGCTACATCGTAAGTCAAAAACTCATATTACATAAAATATATATGAAGTCAAAACTCCAAAAGACCAAGAAAGACATTAAACAATAATAGACGGGGAACTTATGAAAAATGTGTATAGATGCATATTTGTGTGTGTGTGTGTGTATCTCACCTTAGAGTTCCAAATATGTAAGGTAAATATTGACATAATTGAAGAAACACATAGAAAACAATATAATAATAGTAGGATATTTTGATACCTCACTTTCTCTGATAATAATAAAACAAGATAATATTAGTAAGGAAACAGCGGACTTGAGGGCAGTATAAAACAAGTATTTCTAACAGATACAGAGAACACTTCTCAACATCAGGAAACACACCCTTTGCAACAGCTCATACAACATTCTTTTTGATAGACCACCGGTTAGGTCAAAAAATAAACCTCAACAAATGTTTCAAAACTAAAATTTTGAGCTGGGCGTGGTGGCTCACACCTGTAATCCCAGCACTTTGGGAGGTTGAGATGGGCAGACCATGAGGTCAGGAGTTTAAGACCAGCCTGGCCAACATGAAAATACAAAATTAGCCAGGTATGGTAGTGCATGCCTGTCATCCCAGCTACTTGGGAGGCTGAGGCAGGAGAATTGCTTGGACCCAGGAGGCGGAGGCTGCAGTGAAGAGAAATCACACCACTGCACGCCAGTCTGGCGACAGAGCAGGACTCTGTCTCAAAACAAACAAACAAATAACAACAACAACAAAAAACTGAAACTTTGGCAGGCATGGTGGCTCATGCCTGTAATCCCAGCAGTTTGGGAGGCCAAGCTGGGTGGATCACCTGAGGTCAGGAGTTTGAGATGAGCCTGGCCAACATGGCGAAACCCTGTCTCTATCAAAAATACAAAACTTAACTGGGCCTGGTGGCATGCGCCTATAATCCCAGATACGCAGCAGGTTAAAGCATGAGAGTCGCTTGAACCCAGGAGGCAAGAGTTGCAGTGAGCCGAGATCACACCACTGCGCCCCAATCCTGGGCAACAGAGTGAAAGTGTCTCAAACAACAACAACAACAACAACAAACTCCTAAAATTTTAAGGATTACTTTCTATGAACAAAATGGAATAAGAATATAAAACAATGGGAAAAAAACTGAAAAATTCACAAATATATAGAAATTAAACAATACACTCAAGCATACTCTTGTTCAAAGATTAAAATAATTAATATTGTATAGATGTTTATATCATTTAATGTAATCTACAGATTGAATGCAATGTTTTTCAAATTTCTCATTGCATTTTGAGAAAATAGTAATAGCAAACTCAGGAGTGCTATTGCAAGAGACAACAAGGTACCCAACAATCTTCAAAAAAAAAAAAAAAATTGGAGGCATTATAATTCCTTATTTCAAAACATATTACAAAGCTACAGAATTAAAACAATTTAGTATCAGTATCAAACTGAAAACTAGACAAATCAAATAGAATGTAACACATAAACTTTAATATATATGGTCATATAAAGAGTCATTTACATACCCATAATAATTGTAGCATTGTTACTGAAAGCCAATAGGTAAAAACAATGCTAATTTCTGTCACCAAATTATTCAATAGATACCATTTGAAATGTAAAAATACTGGAACATCACTCAGTTTTCTCACTTTCTTTCTTTTTTTTTTTTTTTTTTTGAGACGAAGTCTCACTCTTGTCCCCCAGGCTGGAGTACGATGGCATGATCTCAGCTCATTGCAACCCCTGCTTCCCGGGTTCAAGCAATTCTCCTGCCTTGGCCCCCTGAGTAGCTGGGATTACAGGCACCTACCACCACACTCAGCTAATTTCTGTATTTTTAGTGGAGATGGGGTTTCACCATGTTGGCCAGGCTGGTCTAGAACTCCTGACCTCAGGTGATCCACCCGCCTTGGTCTCCCAAAGTGCTGGGATTACAGATGTGAGCTACTGCACCCAATCATATCACTCAGTTTTCAAAAAGCAGAAAATATTCTAACAACTACACAGATAAATCTTGATGATATTTTGCAAAGTGAGATGAGCCAGCCACAGAGATTGTATGAGATACATAAAGAAGTTACACCACTAGGAACACAAAACAGAGTGGTGTTTCAAAAGTGCCGTAATACTGGAAAAGTTGGTAGTTGTATAATGTGTATTGAGATTTAGCTTTGCAAGATAAAAATGCTTCAGCAGGCCGGGCGCGGTGGCTCAAGCCTGTAATCCCAGCACTTTAGGAGGCCGAGACGGGCGGATCACGAGGTCAGGAGATCGAGACCATCCTGGCTAACA